GCCGATTCAAAAAACCCCCCCCCCCCCCCCCCCTTAATTCAGCCCAACTGCAATTAGGGAACAATACACAAACAGTGGACTGAGAGTAATGACTCTCATCACCTTCCACACGCAGAGCTCACTACTCTGCTAGAGAAGCTCCACTGTTCTTCACTCAAAAACGACGATCAAACCAAGAATTAATGAAGTTCCAGAAAGCACATAATTTGCAACGAAAAATGAATCAAAAACCTATTTCACAACATTATGTACAATCCGAATATTTGGAAGTAATTGACCGACTGATCCACCGGCTGAATGCAACGGCAAGACGGACAGACGAGAAATAGCGCCGCCTCAGCTGCGGCGTTGCAATTCCAGCACTTCGCATCAAGTTTGAGGGCAATTTGGGAGCTGAGAAAATTTTTCCCCAAAAATTGGAATTTCCCGAGAAAATCAGGTCGGCCGTTAGGGAGGAAGAAGAGCCTAGACTTTTCGGAGTAGGGAGATAAGCGAGAGCGAGACTGAGCTTCGGCGGAGAATTTGATTGTGGAAGACAGGACTCGCCAGAGAACGGCAGAGGAGAGTGGGGTCCACAGCCTTTGCCTCAACTCGCCGGATATTTCTGGATTTTTTTTTCTTTTTTTTTTTCGGAGGGGTGGGGTTCTCTAACAAGTCTACTTCCTTTTTTTTATAATGGACTAAAAATAAAAATTTTAAAAAAAATCCTTTTAAAATACATTTGTAAATATGTAACATAATTTCATTCACATGAAATGTGGGTGGAATATCAAGGAAGTTGTGGGAGATAAATTTAATATATGCTTGGCTTGTTATATAATTTCATTCACATTTTTTTCATTTATTTCGTAGTTAGCTTGTTATAATTTTGAGTTATAATTATTTGTATAATTTTTTTCTAGTACTTCATTTTTTTATTACATAACGAATTATATTTTTTTAAATTACACGTAACGAATTATATTTATTATATAATTTTTTAAATTACATTTATTTTGGTCATGATTCAAATTCAGAAAACAAGACAACCAAATACTGGTTCGAATAACATTTCAGGTTAGAATCGAAATCATGCATATACACATCCAAACGAAGGTTCTAATCACTCTGAATCATAAATCAAATCATAAATCATGATTCTGAATCAAATTACTCAAATCACCCTGATTTCAATCATTATACCAAACGGACCCTTAAATTTTGTCCCTTGTCAATTTGAAAGGTAGGCCCAAAACTGAAAGCCCATTTCTTTTTTTTCTTTATTTGGGACAATTTTCTATTCTTTTTTTTTCCTTGTGCGTGGGACTTGTAGATTATATTATTTAGTATAAGGGTTCTGAATTTAGAATTATAATTCTGGTTCAAAATTAATGTGTGTTTATAAAAAGTAAAAAGTAATTTTGATTTGTTTGACCAAAATTAGTGTTTAGTTTGAATGGTTCTGATTTAAAATTTAAATATGTGATGTTATAAATCATGAATATTGATGATTCTAAAATTATTTTTCTCTTAGTTTTTGGTGGTTCAAATTTCTGATTCTGATTTTGGTTTCAGAATCATGATTTAGATTTAAAATTATAAATTATGATTATAATTTTAAAATTAAAATTAAAATTACCCTGATTTGAACCTTATACCAAACGAATCATTAATATTTTAAATCTTAATCATAGAAAAGAAAAGAAAAGAAAAGTACCTTTTCCATTTAGAAAAATTGGAAGTTGAGAACCGATGGGCAATAATGACCTAATCGAAAGCTGTTATCAATTATCTTGTGTTGGAGAAAGCTCTACATGAACGCCAATTCACGTTCACGGCCACTTTTAGAACTTTGTGCATGGTATCTGATTTGCAAAAGTTGTTTTTGGGATCCAACTTTTTTGCTTCCTCTTAATCAGAGCTTTCCCAAAAACTTTCCCGTTTGGATATAACCAACTTTTCAAATCTTCCTTTAGTCTTTACCCTACTTTCAAGTTTCATACTTCTTTTTCCCTTGAAGATTGCTTTCTGTCTTCTTGTTTAATTACATGGGTTCTTTAAGTACATCCATGGAGCACGTGACGTGTTTGTTGGATGGATTATTAGTTTTACTAACGGTCTTATCCAATGTAATCTGGTCTTATACACCTAGTATGCAAAAGAATTATCCAAAGATACCTTTTTTTTTTTTTCCAACTACATAATTGTTTTTACATTCTTTTTCTGGGAAAAAAGGGGAGAAAAATCAGTATTAGTATTATTAAGGACAACTACGGAAAAACCCTTGTTTATTTTGCCTTTTTCTGCGTACATCTTTATCCTTACTCAACGTACATGAGGAGTTTTTGATAACTTTCCTACTTTAATGCCAGGATAATTCTACTATAAAGCTTTAAACTATTAAATTTTAATAGATATTGTCATATGCTATTCAATTATGACATTAAAGAATCTTTTTTATTTATTTAAAAGAGGTTATTCATTGTAAGGTCATACTATTCAGTTCTAGCATTCAGATCTCTACTGTTCATTCAGATGGATCCCGTCAGGATTGATTGAAATCGTGTGGCCGCAAGTGCGAGTGCGTATAGTATTTCTCAAATACTAAGGACCATTTGGTTTATAGTTTAAGTCAGTAATTTTGATTCAGACTTTAAATTTCGTGGGAGAATTTATTAACAAAAATTTTTTGATTTAAATTTTTTATAAGAGAGTATAATTAGAATCATAAATTTAAATTAGTAAATTAAGCGGACTTTAAAGATTACACAACACCTTAATAGTAACAAGAATAGGATGTCAAAATACAGTCTTATCTAAAACATGGAAACTTGATCATTGTCCCCGTATCTTGCTACCCCAAAGTCACAAGCACTAATAATGACAAGGCACAAAGAAGAGAGCACTCGGTGGACAAAAACGCCAGATGAAACCCCTCAATTCTCAATACGAAGCTGGGGCTAATTGCATTAACAGCTGGGGGAGTTGACAATTCCACAACCACGCCAGACATTTTCTACTATACAAGTCCCTTGATTGTTATATGATTTTCTTTGTCTTGTTGTTAATGTACCAAAAAGAATGAAAAGATTAGGGATAATAAATGTTTTGTATTTAGCTTACAAATAGGACATAGACAAATTTAATCGAGGGCGGAATGTATTGAGTAAAGGGCTTTTTTTTTTTTTGTTTTTTTGTTTTTGTTTTTTTTTGGTGCAAGGGCAATACAATGTAATTCTAACTTTTTGATTGAGTTAGAATTACATACGTACATCCTTTAGAATTTGAGTATAAATGGATAGGCATATAGCATTAGTGATTGGTTTTCTTTAGTCTAATAATAGACATGTTGACCTATAATGTTGATGAATATCTTGGAGTGGAAATTTTATCTTAAATTAGTGATGCTATTTAATTTGACTTATGAATTTAATAAGTCTCAATATGAGCCAATAAATTTATTTAGGAGAATTGAGAGGCTGTACTTTTAAAGTGTAATTTGAGTGTAGTTTTTGAGTTGAATTTGAATCATAACTTGAGTTGAAGTTGTAACTTGAATAAAATTGAGTAAAGTTAAATAAAGTTGAAACTTAAAAAAACATGAATTTAAATAAAATTAAAACTCAAATTGTCTTTTTTTAAGTTTTTTGGACAAAAGAACATGCCCTGAATAATTGCACTTCAAAAGTTCAAATCGTGCTTGTCTTATTATAGTGAATGCCTAGTACGGCTAGAGTAGAGTGTTATATAGGTAATGAACTATAATTTTTGGAGGTGGTCGGTGAACATATTCAATATTCATGTGGAAAATTTAGAAGTCTAATTGTCCGTTTAGTTTACGCATTTAAATTAATAATTTTGATTCTGAATTAAAATTTTATGAGAGTATATTGACGGGAATTTTTTTATTTAAACATTTTATGAGAGAAAAATATTATAACAGAATTAAAATTATGGATTTTAAACGCATGAAATAAATCAGCTTTGAGCCATGTGCTATGCTTAGAAGTGGAATATTTGAAAATTGACAACTAAGGGTTATAAGGGCAATTTTTGTTCCCTTTTAGAGACTAATCCGGAGTCACGAAAAGCCCAACCTTTTCTTTTTAAGGAATGATAAAGCTAGTTATATTTCCTCTAGTGCTTTAAATAACTTTCATCAAGCTGCTAGACATAAAACTATAGTTGCTTATTACACTAATTACTAACATGCTAGTCTTAGCCCTATTTTAATAACGGCTGCAAAATGAAATACTAATGGGCAATAATTTACAATTACATGGGCATTTAAGAATATCCAAAAAGCTAATTACTTAAAATAATTAAATAATGAAAATAAAATGTTACTATAGGGCTCCTATTTACAAAGTAATTGTTTTTTAGATATTTGATTAAACTTTAACTTTAACGGTTTGATTTGTAAGTATCTTTATAATGTATGATTTTATATTTTAAATATGAACACTCATAAAATTAACTGTTAAAATTTATTTAAATGGTTAAAAATTGAACATAAATAAGATGAGGTTTGAGAAAGTTTCACAAAGAGCGAAAAAATGAGGGAGTATCTTCCACTAAAAAAAAAAAAAAAATGGAGTCTCTCCTAGCATTTTGACTTGAGATTTATCAAAACTTCACCTAATTAGTAATTAGCAAAGTAAGCAAGTAACTAAGGAGTAAGGACGAGAAAAAAAAAGTAACTAAGGACGTACGGGTGGGTCCCAGACCTTCCCTTTGTTATGCCCGTCCACGTGTCAACATCCCGATACACGAGCACCACTCCGACACGTCAGCATGCCTTTCTCTCTCTGTCTCTGTCCTTCTCCCTCTCTGTCTCTGTCTCTCTTTCTCTCTCATCCCGAGAGCCAGAGCTCCTCTTTCCTCTCATGGCGGTCAACGAGTCGATATAGTAATATACTAATATCAATCGAAAACCGCTCTCTCTGCGACAAAACAGCCCAAACGCCAAACCACTGTACGGACATAATAGAGCAGAAGAAGAAGAAGAAGAAGGAAGAAAGCATGGGGAGAACCGGAGGAGGTAATCTGAAGACATACTCTGCGAGACATAGCGACTACAAGCTTCTCGAAGAGGTCGGTTATGGCGCCAGCGCCACGGTTTACAGAGCGATCTATCTTCCTTTCAATGAAGTCGTGGCCATCAAGTGCTTGGATCTCGATCGCTGCAACAGCAATCTGGTTAGCTAATTTGTTCTTATCTTCTTTGCGTCTTAAAAAGATTTAAATTTTTATTCATTTTCATGGATTTTGAGATGTGCTTGGTTTAGCTAGGTTTCAATAGAAATGGATTGTGTTTTGGCTTGGGCTTGACTCTTTTGACTTCGATTTGCTTCCGCGTGGAGCCGATCTGTGGTCTAAACAATTTTGTTGGTGATTTAGTGATTGATTCTGGAAGTGAAATTGGTGTGGAATTTGTTGAGATCATGAAGTTGGAGACTTTTTTTTTATATATTTTTTATTTATTTAGTTATTTATTTTGCTGTGTGAATTCAATTCGCTGAGTTGTTTGTGTTTCAGATCCTCAACATCAGTCGTCTTCGTTGAAGAACTATGACGAAACAGTATAGTTAGTGAAAACTACTGAATTCAGTGTAGATTTTTTTGTTCTTTTTGAATTCTTTCTATGTATGATTTTCTTTTTCTGGGTGAGTACAACCTTAAGTGGGTACTTGGGGGAATACTGGGATGATCATGCTTTAGGAGGAGAAGGTACTTAGTATGGACCACATGATCAGGACTGTAAAAGTTGCATTCTAATCACTTTATGGGTTTTATATTGCTATTTTGTTCGCTTTGTAGTTTATATTTTGTGGAAAGGTGGAAGTGAATAATCTTAACATTAATGCTGGTTTTCACTTGGGGCACTAAAGATTAGTACTATTTTGGGGAAAGTTTTTTACATTTTTTATATATATATATGAGTGAAGGTGAATTCCGTGAAAGTTTCGGCAAGTTGTAGAATTCGTTATTGGTTGAACTTCACTCGGAGTTATTACTTGGTGAGAGTGGTTGCTACGGTGAAGCAACTCCATTAAGTATGTGAGGATGTTGAAAATGCCACCAGGGAATCGAATATGGTGATCTCTGGTGCTGTAGTTGACAACCTGTGGTCTTCAGCATGCAAATTTTTACTATTTAGTATATTATCACTAGTGTCACATCCTTAGTTTTGGAGGTGTGGGTGGTGGAGCAAGAGATCTAGGTTAAAAGGTGGCACAGATGCTCAAGAACTTAGAAATCTACCATCATAAAAGATCACTACGCGCTTTGACAAACTATTGCAAGTCTTTTTCAGTTTTTCTAAACTGAGCACATTTTAGAACCTAATTGTGCTCGTTGTATTAATGTATTATAGTGTTTTCATACTTAAAGAGAAGCCGTGATATAGAATTTGAATACCAGTCTGTAACAATTTTAGAGTGATTTTTTTGTGGATCATATATTTTGGTACATTGCTTGATATGTTATTATTATTATTATTATTATTATTATTATTATGCTATTTTATTATTTTTGCAGGATGACATAAGGAGGGAGGCTCAAACAATGAGCTTGATAGATCATCCAAATGTTGTGAGGGCATACTGTTCTTTTGTTGTTGAACGGAACCTTTGGGTGGTTATGCCATTCATGGCAGAGGGTTCTTGTTTGCACCTTATGAAGATTGCATATCCAGATGGATTTGACGAAGCAGTTATTGGTTCTATTCTCAAAGAAACCCTTAAGGCTTTGGATTACCTTCATCGGCAAGGACATATTCATCGTGATGTGAAGGTGACAGAGTCAATTTCTCATTGCAACATTTTAGAACATGCATTGGATGGCTGATTTTGTTTGTTTAAATCTTTTGGCTGCAGGCTGGAAACATACTACTAGATACCAATGGCGTTGTAAAGCTTGCTGACTTCGGTGTTTCAGCTTGCATGTTTGACACGGGTGATAGACAACGTTCAAGAAATACATTTGTTGGAACTCCATGCTGGTATGATTTGTGTCACTGGACTCCCTGGACTCCCAAATCTTTCCTTCTTCTTCTTCTTCTTCTTCTTTTTTTTTTTTTTTTCCTTTTTCAATTTTTTGGGGGGGGGGGGGGGGGTTCTGGATTATCTATGTGTTTTTGTATTCGGGGTACGCTCTCTCTCTTCTTGATCCATATGTTTAATGGTTGAACTTGTCTTTGCTGTCCAGGATGGCACCCGAGGTATTGCAACCAGGAAGTGGGTACAATTCCAAGTAAGTTCATTTAGTAGCTTGAAATCAGAATCGAATTGTTGGAGTTGCCCTCAAAGCACTCCCTCTTGCAAGCAGTTCAACACTGGCACTTGACTTTCCGTCTGGGTGACACGTGTTATAATTGCAAAAACTCTCTTTCCTGTGTCATGTGTTGTCCACTCACCGAGGGGCTAACAAAATTGATTTTCATTGTGCTTGACTACTACTCGCGACGATGGTTATAGTCCTGATAATTGTTGAATTTCTTATATGCATAAGCACCCAACTTGTCAACTTGGGGCCCTAATTTATCTAGAACTTGGTTTTGATGATTTAAATTGAAGAAAGATAACAGACTAATATATTACTCGCGGTGCATTATCCTTGTACAGAGCTGATATTTGGTCATTTGGGATAACAGCACTAGAGCTGGCTCATGGTCATGCACCTTTTTCAAAATATCCTCCTATGAAGGTATTTACTTATATACTTTATGTTGTGGGGTTGGAGAAGGATGGATTTGGAAATGCAGATTGAATTAAATGAGGCTTTGCACTTATTGAAACCTGTAACATGCCTAGTTTCTTAATCGTAGGTTCTCTTGATGACCATTCAGAATGCTCCTCCTGGACTTGATTATGATCGTGATAAAAGGTTCTCTAAGGTATGGTAATTCTTTCTAGAAAGAGCATAGATTGATATGCCCATGTAATTTCATATTTTGTGAAATTGGGACATAAACTAGTGACTTGAGCATGTACCGTTAATCAATGTCCCATAAGGTGGTTAAAGGCCAACAGTATAGTCTGTTTGTTGCTGTTGTTGCTTTTTTTTTTTTTATGTGCTTTCTTTTGTAGAATATATTCTAATTAGAGGATTTCCAGTTGTGACCAGTCTTTCAAAGAAATGGTGGCTATGTGCCTAGTGAAAGATCAAACAAAGAGGCCAACGGCAGAGAAATTGTTGAAACATTCCTTTTTCAAACATGCAAAGCCTCCAGAGCTTTCTGTGAAGAAACTGTTTGCTGAGTTGCCACCTCTTTGGAATCGTGTGAAGGCCCTTCAGGTGACTGTCATACTTTGTAATATGATTTTCTAAGTTTAACTTGTGCTCTTGTTATTATTTATCGTTTTGCGAAAACCTTGCAGCTTAAAGATGCGGCACAACTAGTGCTTAAGAAGATGCCTTCAGCAGAACAAGAGGCATTATCACAGGTTATTAGCATTTCTTGACTCTGCACATTATTAGGGGCTAACACTTGAATTATCACATATTCACAATTTGATATTTAATATTTTTTTGCCACATTAGATTGTATTTAGTGAGAATTCTTTTCTTTTTTTTTGTTTTTTTTTTTGTTTTTTTGTTTTGTTTTTTGTTTTGTTTTGTTTTTTTTTTTGTTTTTGCTTATTCATTGTCCTTATACCTGCTTGTCTAAGGTGTTGTAAATGGCCTAACAGAGCCATAGGAAGGCACTTCCTAAGATCTTCTTTGTATAAATACTTGTTCATCATTTGTAGATAGCCTCAATCATTTGCAATGGCACGTTGGAGATGCTATCAATGATTTGGCCTTTTATTTAGGAAACAACACCCTTTTCTTGTGTATGATTAAGTTATAAGAATGGCTCCTTGCTCAAAGGTTGACATTCACGTCAATATTTGTTGGGAGATAATTGTCGACTCAAAAGTGAAATGCAATGATAAAGAACATGGGAGAATGTTACATTCAGCGCCCAGAAGCACATAAGCTTCATAATTATTTTCTTATATTTAGTGTCATTTTCTTCCCTTGTCAGAGTGAGTATCAGCGCGGAGTCAGTGCCTGGAACTTTGATATTGAAGATCTAAAAGCTCAAGCATCCCTGGTATGTCTAACTTTTAATTTGCAAGTTATCAACAAATTTGCTGTATTTCTAGTGGTTAACGTCATGAAAATCCTTTCATCTTTGGGCTAGGTACGCGACGATGATGATTTGCAAGAGATGCGGGAGGAAGATGAAAAATTGAAATCAATATTTATTGATAAGGTTGTCATCTTGTTTTTTACTCAGGAGATATAACAAATTTTCAAATGCAGAGAGAACTAATTTTCTTCTTTTTATTTGGAAAAAACTTGAACTTCTGACTTAATAATTACTTCAATCAGGATGCACCTCCTTCCCAATCCATCCAGGGGAAATTGAACTCAAACAGCAAACTACCTTGTGAAGGACAATCAAGCGGTGATAAATCACTGCAGAGTGAATATTTGAACAAAAAAGGCAAGATTCTGGAATGTGATGTACAGGAATCTGGTTTCCAAGAAAACATGGGCTTGAAGAAAAATGGATCAATCACTGAGGCAACAACATCGACATCAGACAAAGAGATAGTTATGTCAAAGAATAGAACTCCTGTGAAAGTTCGCCAGACTTATAGTGGTCCGCTCATGCCCGGTGCTGTACTTTCTCATTCAGTATCAGAGAGGGGACGACCATCTGAAAGGTTCATTATTATGGTTTATTACTTAATATGTCTTACAATGTCAAGTTATGATAATGGTACATCTGGTTGTATCATGTTAAGTAGCTTTTGCAAATCTAGCGTTTTTCTTGGCCAAAAATGCTGTTCCTTCGTTATCACATTACATAAACTTGTGCTGGTCCATCCACTAGTTGTAGAACCTAATTAGAACAAACAAAAATCGTAAGATTAAGAATATGAGCAAACATAGCTGATAGTTCCAGCATAGTTTTTATCACGATACTGAATTTGTATCTATACCGAAAGTGGCTAAGTTTAACTGCTGACAATCATCAGGACTCAAATGTGTTGTAGCTTTCACTAGGTCTGCCAGTCGCCAGACTTTGATATAGTCCTAAACTGACTAGTCTTTAAACCATTATTCCCAATTTTGTCTTGGGGGAATGAAATACGTATGACCCGGTTTCATTTTTAGTTGCTTTTGTAAGTTTTATTGTATAATGATCTTACTGTTCTGGTTCTGGTGTAGTTTATTTTTGGAACGATAATGTTGATTCTATTTGGATTCTAAACTACTGCTGAGTGGTAGTTTACTGTATAGGTTAGTCCTTATATCTTTTTGACATATAGTTTATTGCATAGTATGCTGCTTAGATTTCCTAAGGTTGGATGTTGAACTATGTATATTGTTTAGATAAAATCACCATCTAAAGAAGAAGAAACAGAACAATATTTTGTTGTTTTCTGGAACAAGTAGAATCAGTCTCCAACTTTCACTTTTGATTTTGTGCACGGTTGCCTGTACAGCTGAAAGTTTATTGGTCAATCTTATATTCTATTTCCTTTTCTTTTCAATTTCACATTCTTAAGTTTGGGAATCTGATGTACTATTTCTATTTCTTATTAGTTTCGAATATCTGATTTCTTGTCCCTGTGAATCTAAATATCTGTAGATGGTACGTGCTATTCTTTGTCGCCTGTATCTTCACAAAGTTATATTTGTATATATGTGAAGTCAAATGCCTCTTCTTCCTTGTATTGTTTTGCCCCCGTCTCTTTCATCGGATTAACAGCTGTTATTTTGTTAATTACTAGGAGTGAGAACGATAAACCTTCAACTGAGAAAGTTAATTGTGAAGTACGGAGAACACCAAGCTTTAGTGGTCCTTTGATGCTTCCAAATCGAGCTTCGGCTAACAGTTTCTCAGCTCCAATAAAGTGTTCTGGAGGTGAACAACTTGTCCAGTATCCTTTGAAATTCATTTTCACTAAGGCTACTCTGGCTACTGCTGTTATTTACTGGCTTAGAAAGCTTATGACACTGAGTCTTCTCCTCTAATAGGATTTAGGGATTCTTTGGACGATAAATCAAAAGCCAACCTCGTGCAGATTAGAGGGCGATTCTCTGTAACATCAGAAAATTTAGATCTTGTAAAGGTTAGTTTTTACTTCTTATGGTGTGTTTTCTCTATTATTTCAGTTTCACTAACTTACAATTTTGCCCTAGGATATTCCATTAAGTACAGTTCCACGTCGATCTTCACAGGTAGGTGGCTTGATGGTTTTGAATCTTTTGCACACAAGTGTGTTTCGATTCTGGTCCTGACTATATCTTTTGTTCCGTCAATTTATTAGGGATCACCGCTGAGAAAGTCTGCTAGTGTTGGTGATTGGATATTTGAATCCAAGCAAGTGGTTTGTATGCTAACCTCTTGCTCACAATACTTGAATAAGATAATAGGATTTGACGGTTATGTATAAATTTTGTTTTCTTCACAGCAAAATATGGTAAACTATGAAATGGAATGCTGAGTATAGACATTGAGCATGGAATTGGATATTTAGTTAAACTTCTACCTCACATAATCCCTAAGCGTTTGACACTTGCATGCACGCTTAATGTTGGATAAACAATCTCTAATGTAATTCTATTTTGTTTTAACTTATGTCTACTTTTTATGTTTCCAGCCCATCAGTCCATCTCCCAAGGAGTTAAATAATAGCATAATACCTGCATCACTTCTCATGCCTCATCTTCAGAATCTTTTCCAGCAGACGTCAATTCAACAGGTAAAACAATAAACTTTAAGTACATTGAAATACTTTCTAACTTAGCCTGTTAAACGATTTAAAACTTCTAAACCTGCTGATTGCACTTATTCTTGGTTTCGTTAATGTCAGGATCTTATTATGAATTTGTTAAGTAGCTTGCAATCAACTGAGGTGGTAGATGGTGAGTGTCAGATATCTCATTTTGTGATGATTGGTGTAGTTATATCATTAAGTGTATTTAACAAGCAAGGTTCATCAATTTTGTAGCAGCTCAAAATGGGAAGTTGCCTCCACTGCCTCGCAGTCCAGAAAATAATGGAAGTGTAAGCTTGTTTTCATTCGTACCTTGTGATGAACATAATCATCTTCAGTAAAGATGCTTCTCAGATTGGTGTTTCATAGGAGATTTCTCGTTTTAATGGGAATGATTGACCATTTTCTTGCCGTATATGTGTACATTTTCTCACCAAAAGCTTCTAAAGATTCTAGGTCTACTATGCACAAATTTAAAGCACGTACACCAAGAGATATTTGACTCTTTCAGTTGAAATTTCTTTGGGTGGACGCTCTCTTGGGAGCTTAGACTAGATTCAATCGTGCAAATTTTGTTTTTTTTTCATGGTATACGTTATTCATAAACACGTTTGTTTTTACCTTG